ATAGTATCTTCAAGAGGTACCCATTTGTCAGCCATTAGCAGGAAGCAAAGAAATGCCAAGAAAATGGGATCTCCCCTAAATTCTTCAGGAGCCTGAAAGCAGAAAATCTCCCAGAACCAAAGAGCAGACTCAGCACTGACAGCCTACTTAGGCAGCTTATCAGGTAACGACGAAAACTCTTGAGTGTATGAATTTACGGAAGGTTTCTAAATTTATTGTGGTGAATAGAAGAGATCCCACTGGCCAAATCCAATCTAATTAGGATAACAACATTTTTCCTCCTTCACTGCCAGCTTTTGTATGAAAAATTGCGTCTTCTCAAACTCAGTCAATTTCAGAATGTCTGCTGGCTGAGTTTGCCCGGCAGGAGGCTAAAAGATCCATTATGCTGACAGATGCTCAGCTTTCAGATTGGGGGGAATTTAAATGACTTGTATTTTCTCTGAACAGCCATTTAAATTGAATTACTGTGAAAATGAAATCAAACTTTGCTTTTAAAATTCTTACCTCTTAAATAATATCTTTAAATGGCTGTAGATATTAATGATAATTTCTTCTGGTGTTAAAAGCTGAGTTCTGTTTTCTAAGTGTGTATTTAAAGGCTTTTTTGGAGGGGGTGGGAATTGTTAATGTATTTCACAACTGTGTATTTTGCATAGCTATGACAAATATGCATTTTCAGTTACTGTTATGGTCAGATGAAGAGCATCGGCAGCTTATTATTTCAGTTAATTTTTCATGGCGCTATTATTGCTTAGTTACTGATGTTTAGACATTGAGTTGCCAAGATTATTTGCCCAGACTCTTTTTCTTTTAGTTCGGTCTACATGAAAATGAGCTCTGGCCTCATTGCATGCATCAAACAAACACACACTCATTAAGCTGTTTCCGTGCACCCACAGACGCCATCTCTACACCTCTGCACAATTTCGCCTTTTACAACAGGATAGAAGGCTGTGAATCTTTTTGATAGAGTCTCTAAATACAATCTTAATTTATTTCTCTATTTATCTGTATGTTATGAACTCCAAATTGGTTTACTAGGTAAACTGTAAAAATGTGAAAAACTCCATTGTCTGAACAGCGGGATATTAGCTCATAATTTCCAAGGTAGAATTCTCAAAAGAATGTGTCTCTGGGCCCTTTCGGAAAGCTGTAGGAGCAGAGTGCCCTCAGCCTCCCTCCAGGCCCATGAGGGTAGGATTCCCTTCCCAGCCTCTGTCCTGACAATGTGAGAGGAGCTCTGGAAAAGCAACACAGTAAGTGACTCATGATCCCTCTGGGGAACGCGATAGACAAGAAAGGTTTTGCTCATATGACAGACTAGACAGCATGTGAATTAAGGGAGATTAAGGTAATAAGGAATTAGATGATCATTTACAAATTACAAAATGATAACATGATAAATATTTGACATTAATTTTTTTCACTGGAATGGATGGTTAACAAAAGTCATCCTCAAGCAATAGAGTTAAGATAATATAATTTTTACTTTTTAATTAAATATTTTGGTTATTTAAAAATTTATTTATTAAATTTTTACATAATTTCACCTTCTCCTACTTCTAACCTTTCTCATATTCACCAAACTAACAACCCTTTTGATTTAATTATTATTGCTATGCTTTATATGTTATATATGTATTATTGCTATGCTATATGTTATATATGTATAAACATATGTAACACCTCCTGAATCCTTTTAGTAGTGTTTGCTTTATACAGTTTTAGAGTTGGCAACTTGAGATTGAACAGGCAGTAGGGAGAACATCCCTAGGGAAGACTAATTCTCACTCTTCAGCAGTTTTCTGCTTAAAGATCTTCATTCAGGGGCAGAGTCCTGTGGCATTTTCCCCACCACGTTCAGATTCCAATGGCGGTGTCATTGTTCTGGTCTTATTTAGATTGTCATATTGCTGAGAGCTCCTGGATGCAGTTTTCCTGTTATATTTAGAAAATGCAATATTTCACTAGAAGTCTTGGTCCTCTGGTTTTTAATGGTTTTTTACCCCTTCTTCTGGGGTGCTCTCTGAGATAGGCACAGGTGTTGTTTTGCAGATACAACAATGGACCTTGATGGCCGCTGTTCAGTTTTTCTCATCACTTTGACCAGTTGTTGCTTCTGCAATGGTTTCCGTTTGCTGTGAAAGAAGCTTCTTTGGTGGGGTGAGAGCTACACTGATATGTGGGTGAGGATAAATACTAAGGACACACACGGTTAAGAACTTTTTTGATGCGGGAAAGTGGAAGAATTAGGTCCTCCTCTAAGGTCCTTGGCCTCACTAACCATGGGTGATTGACTAGGTGTCTAGTACCAGACATGCTTTGCCTACACCACGGGTGTGAGAGCCCATACTACACCTTTTAGGATTACTGTGATGTTTTATCTGTGTATAAATGGAGGAAATTGAGTAGAGTTGATAAACATATCCATTACTTTATAAATTCATCATGGATTGTGTTGAAAACATCACAGTTTTTCTTTCTAGAAATGTCATGTTGTTACTTAGTGACGTTACTACTCAGTACTGTGGGTCACTGCACTATTCCCCCTAACTGAAGTGTGGCACTCATTGGCCCACTCTTTCTTTCTTTCTTTCTTTCTCTCTATTCTTTATCTTTTTCCTGATATAGGGGAAGTTTGGAAATGTAAGCTCTGACGAGAAGTCCTAAGGTGGTTTGTGGCATGGCTGCAAAGGGGATTCTGGAAGCCCAGCTAGTTTGCTAGCTGGTGGGATGAGTTGCTTTTGCTCTGTGCTTCTGCTGAGATTTGCTTCATCACAAGGAATAAACACATATTGTCCTATGTCAATGTCTAAAATATTATATTATTGTGAAGAAAAGGTAATTAATATACAAATATAAGTAATTTTTAATATAAACTTATTGATTAGACAATTCTTTTATGGTTTTATTTATTCTTATTATGATTCTAAAGGATTATTATTTGTTGTTATAAACATTACTGTTTAAAAGTGGTTATTTCTTATTACCTATTTTATAAACAAATTAATTAGATATTCTTTACAGTCTATAAGCTTTTGTGTTAATAAATCAATGTGCCTAAGGTTTAGAAGATCATTTAGATATGCTTTTGAGGAGGCAAAACTCAATATTGATTCATTATTATATGAGTATATATCTACTTTGAGAAGTATAGTGTGTCCATGGTCTTCACTATAATACCAGGTAAACTTCATTCTTCAGAGAGTATTGACCTGATGGAATTTGGAGTTTCAGTCATTGAAGAACAACTCAGAAAATGAAAACAGAAACAAGGATCACTTCAATGTCTCAGCAACTTGACAAAGCAACTTAAAATGTTTATGCCTTTTTCTTACAGCTGGAGCCAGTCAGCCCTCGATTACCTACACATCAGAAGCGTAGAGCGCACACACTAAAACGTGATTGTGGAGGGCCGCAACCACATTTTCCATTACTTTCAGGAGGCAGAGGTAGTTGACCTTTGTGACTTCAGGGTGTGGCAGTACACACCTTTAATCCCAACACAAGGGAGGCAGAGGTAGATTAACCTCTGACTTCAAGGGGCAGAGGCAGATTGACCTCTGTGACCTCAAGGTGTGGTAGTACACGCCTTTAATCCCTATGCCTGGGAGGCAGAGACAGATCTCTGTGAGTTCAAGGTGTGGTAGCACACGCCTTTAATAACTTTCCACTGCTGCTGTCCCTGCCTACTCCCGAGGTGTCATCTGGGTTGATGGGCAGCGGAGCAATGCAAGAGTGACACTTTCGAAGCGAGGACTGTTTCCTATATAAGGGACGGGTTCCCCTCATTCTGGGTCTCCGCTTTGGAAGCTTATGCTCTCTCTCTCAAGACGCATTAAATCTTTTCTGCAGAAGGATCCTAAGTGTGCCGCGTCGTTCTTGCTGGCGAGACGGTAGCGTGGGACACATGATGACATGGGATATAACATTGTTTGATTTTGGGATAGCTCTAATTTATGATGCTAAAACCACAAGAAAAAAGAAAGAAAGAAAAATGGGGTAGTAAATAAAAGCCCAGTATGTGTATGAGAGGGGACTGTGTTTGGAAGGGTTAGGGCAGAAGGTAACTTCACAGGGAGGACTATTGTAGGAATTATGGCTTAAGAGTATAAATTAAATCATTTTTATTAATTGAAATAAATACTGAGAATCTTTATACTAAGACACAGGATTTTGGAATTACATGTTACTTTAAAAAAAACACAATAGAAATCAACTAGTGAATTGACTTGAAGAACCACAAGATTGTCTTGTGAAAATGTATGTTTTGTGCTTCTAAAATACTGGATTTGGAATATATACTATAATTTTTCAATAGTTTATAATTTTATATATTTTTCTGCCTGAAAATCCATGTTTGATAGAACAATTTTATACCATACTTTCTATATGTGTTAATTTTAAAATCATTTAGCTAGACAAAGAAAAGTTGAACAATTGACTTCTAAAGCATTATGGGAGACATGTATAATGTCTGTCTGTCAGTATTTGGAAAGTTCAGTAAACACTGTCTTATGTTGGATGAATATGAGCAAACTATCATTAAGGAAAAGCTGCTAGGTTCGGGCGACTGACTTAAAGAATTTTCTCAGCTACTGTTTGGCATTGAAGATTATTTTAAAAAGAACTTCAATCACATAAATATAGCAATACAGATGCAAAAAGAATTAAGCAGAGAAAATAGGCTTTATCTGAGGGTCTTCCAGGTCACTGGTATAACACTGAGAAGCAAAGCAATCTATATTTGTATACACTGAATCAACCAAATTAGTGCATTTAGCTTGTTTCATTTACTTATGAGCACACCGACCTTTAAGGAACTGCGTTTTATTTCAGGATTCATAACTGTATAAAATGAACATACTGACAATTAGTCAAAGATTATTCTGATAGGTCATATTTATATGATTGAGAAGAAATAGCTTAGCATGCCAACTTGGGTAAGAAAATCAAAGGTTTAGTAACACGACTCTGTGCTGACATGTTTTAGAGCATCCACGCTTCTGACTGTGCAAGCTGGAGAAACACCACTCTGGGGTGTGACTGACAACTTAAGAAAGTTAACGGATTCATGGTATGCCCAAGTGAGTCTTCCTTTTCTATTTTTATTCCTTTTATTTTAAATTTTATTGAGAAACAGTAGAATATGCTCAAATTTTGCAAACTACTAAATATTTTTGTGAAAAGTATTCCCATGTAGTCTGTAGTTTAGAAAAATTAACTGGGAAATAACAACCTTGCGGTGAATATGAGGATAGAGGTCCATGCGCATGGCAGAGGAGGAAGCGCAAAGGACCTGGTTCTGTGATTGGACACATAGTCTCTGGTTTGCTGAGCATCCCTGTATCCTTGGCTTCAGTCATCAGCGCTGAAAAGAATAAAAAAGAGGAAACTGAAAGATCCCCCAAATGACACGTTTTCTCCTGTGCACTTCTTTAGGGGACACTGCAGAACGTTATTTTTTCTCTTCTGCTCTTAAAACCTCAATATCCCTATTTAAATTGAGTTAGGTGATGGCTTTAACTGCTGTCTTCTCTTTTGTCAGCATACTAAAGCAATTCCTAAATAATTGAATAAAATATCTACATGTTGGGAAAAAGAATGAAAATACAGATAAACCCCCTTAAGAAATACTAAATTTGTTTATTTAACACATCATCCTCCAGTTCCCAATTTAAGTCATATTTTTATTAAAGCCTTAACAGTAACCTAATTGAAGATATGAATTAAGCGGTAAAGAAAGTGATGTGAATAATCCTAGAAGGCCTGCCACTATCTCTTGTTGCTGTAGCCCCGCTACTCAACAGGCAGAAGCAGGGCATTATCTAGAATTCTGGAGTCTGAGAAACACAGAGGTTCCTCTTTCAAAACTGAATTTCTCTAGATATTTTGTCTTCCATTTTTGAGATTAATAGAATTACATTATTTCCTCTTCCTTCTCTTTTCTACATATATATTTTCATGTATATATATTCTACATATTCCACATATATATTTTCTACATATATATTTTCATATATTCCTCCTTGCTCTCTTTCAGAGTCAGGGCATCTGTATTCATTGATACATGCATATATGTACATACATACATATTCCTAAACAATCTGCTCAGTCTGTATGTGTAAGGCTTCTTGTATGCATGTTTTCAGGACTGACCATTTGGTATCGGATAAACAATTTCTCAGTACTCCCTTTCTCAATACTTTTTAGTTCTCTACATAGAGTTGAGGCCTCTTGGGCTTTCCGCTGCCTATTTCATCCTGTGTGGTGATGACCTTGTTCAGCTCTTATTTAGGTAGTCATGGTGGTGAGACTTTATGGCTGTAGCTTTTGTCATTTCTAGGAGATGCCATCTCACAGCACACTCCCTGATCCTCTGGTTCCTAAAGTCTTTCTCCACCTCTTCTGCAATATTCTCTGAGCCTTAGCTGTTGATCGTGTCTTATAAAGATATTCAGGGGGAGCCAGGTAGTAGTTACTGACAACTCTAATCCCAGCACTTGCATCTCTGAGTTTAAGGCCAGCTTGGTCTCAGAGGGAGTTTCTGCACAGCCAGGGCTGTGCAGAAAAATATTGTTTTGAAGCACAAGCAAACAAAGCAACCAAATGAAAACCAAGCAAACCATAGTCATCATGTCTGGGCTCCACACCTCTGCATTTTGATTGGTTGATGTGGGATTTCCTTCTGTATGCTGTGATTATCATTGGTTAATAAAGGAACTGCTTTGGGCCTATAGCAGAGCTAGAGGGGAACAGAGCTAGGTGGGGAAAACTAAACTGAATGCTGGGAGAAAGGAAGTGGCATCAAGGAGAAGCCATGGATTTGCCTCTGGAGACAGATGCGCTGAAACTTTGCTAGTAGGCCATGACCTCATGGTGATGCTCAGATTAATGGAGATGGGTTAAACCGAAAGACCCCCGCCCGCCTGCTTCAGGGAATTCTCATTGTAGCTATAGTCCAAACCAGGTCAAGCTGTTCCCAGGCCAGCATAATCGCCCTGAGGTCAGATGGGCCCCTACTGAGAAAACAAGATATCTGTCACCCTGAGACCAGATGGGTCCCTGATGATGAGAAAACAGGATATCTGTAGTCAGATATCTGGAGGTCAGCCTTCGGCCAATAGGAAGACAAAAAGGGAGCAGGAAGCCCAGCGTGGGCTTTCTTAACTTATTCCCATGTATTCAAGATGAATAGACAACCCATCCCTGACCTGACCCCACCATTTTATCTGAAATAACCATTGAGAATGCATCCACTTCTGTAAGCTCGCTTCTTGCTATATAACCAGCCCCGAATTTAGCCCAACACGCTCAGCCACCCGAAAGCTGCAGTGTCCACGGATGCACATGTGAACAAATAAAAAATACCTCTTGCTTTTGCATCCAATGTAGACTGGTCTTGGTTTTTGGGTGTCAGGGTCCCCGGGGGAGGCACCTGAATCAGGGATCTTTCAAAACTAAGATGTAAGAGTTCGCCAATAAGAAGCTAAAGCTAACAGGCCAAGCAGTGATTTAATTAATACAGTTTCTGTGTGATTATTTCGGTTCTTGGCAGCAGGAATCAACAATTGGTTCTAGATTCTGATAGTGATCTCCTTCTGTTGCAAAGAGAAGTTTCCTGATGAGGAGTGAGGACTGCACTTCTCTCTGGGTATGAGTACAAATAATTAGAATTTAGTCAAGGCTTATGCTTGCTTAGTAAAGTGATGGCTATAGGTTCTCCTCCAAGATCCATGACTTCACTAGCCCTGAATAGTTGGTGAGGTTTCCTACAGCAGGAATGATCTCTCCTTGTTGAAATTTCTTAAGTCCAATTAAAAATCTGTTGGTCACCACTAAACTCTACAAGTCACAAAAAAAATGCTTTAAAAAGGAGCAATGACAATGCATATTATCAATAATGTTTTGTTTCTAAATATATTCTTTATTATGATATTTTCTATACTTCGATTGTCTATTCTTTTTCCTTTGCCTTGCTTCCTCTATTCTTTTATTGTGACCTAAAACTACCTCTTCAATGATAAATTCCCTAGCTTTCTATTCTTTTAGACAACTGGACCCTCAGCTCATTTTACTAAATCCTTGTAGCATTTTATTTCTATGCTATAAGATTTAATACTGAATTCATTTTCTTGAAATTAATCATTTTATTTGAGTCTGTCTCCTGATTTGTCAATTGGTTTAATAAGCTGCCTATAACATTGAAGAATGTGACTAGTTGAATCAAAATGTTAATAATAATTTTGAGTGTATTGTATCTATTCTATCTCTAAAAGTTTTAGAATAGAGAAATAGTATTTATGGTCATATTATGAAAACTTTTTATATGAAAATCAAAGGAAAATTATTTTATCACAGTGTTCTTCACAAGTCTTATGGTAACTATATTTGCAACAAATACTTTAATTTTAACTGTGTATTTTCATTTTTAGTGGTTTTTTAAATTAAGTGATAGCTTTTTAGTTCTTTATCATAATTTTATAAAAATTTTTATTGAAGCTTCCAAACACAAATAGTAAAAGAAAAATAATCTCTAAAGGTAGTGTTTCTTAAAGAATCTCCTTTTCCTCTGGAGCCAGTGATGTCTCCAAGCGATTCTTCCTCATCTAAACCAACTGAAACAGTAGGTGAAGATTGATTAGTGGGAGTACAATGCTGTTCTTACAACAAAACTCTGGAATGTGCATGGTGATTGTCTTTTGAAATATGGCTGCATCACCTTTCTCCTTCCCCTTCCTTCCCCTGCACCTCCTAGCTATTCTCCTTCAAACCTCTCCCCCAAGTTAATAGCTCTTTATTGTTCATTATATTTGATATGTGTATGCCCGTGTGTGTGTGTGTGTGTGTGTGTGTGTGTGCCCATCCTTCATTGGGCAATCAATAAAAGGTTCATTCCCGAAGAGACTAACTCTCCTGGGGGCGAAAAACCAGTCTGCACATAAATTACAGTGTATTGAAAGACTACAAAGTTTCTAAACAGTAATTAAGAAAAGAAAAGGTTTACTCATCCAGAGTATCTAAGAGATAGCTGAATACAAGCAGCAACAACAGCAATGTATACCCACAGGCAAGGCATTTGTGTGTCACTGAGCGATTTTAAATTCTTGAAAGATAATCCACACTGACAATTTTAAATCAGAATTGCTTCCAAATTTAGTAGAATATCACACACATTTTCACCTGCACAGGGGATTATCGTAATATAAATATGTGTTTTAAATGCTAACCATGTGCTTAAAATTTTTAAGAAAAAAGGCTAAAGAAATAAATTTCTGTAACTAATCTGTTGCTTTCTTCAGCTGGGATGATGTCCTTCTTTATTGATGAGAGTACCGTATGACAAATGCCAAGCTCTTTTAGATGTCTTATTTGTGTTTAAACCCATTTGTGTTTTCGAGGACAGGAGTACATTGTGTTGCTAGCCTGCCTCACTGTAGCATCCCATTTCTCCAGCTGCCAGTTGCACGGAATGTAGAAATTAAGCACACTAGCAATGTACGTGCCGCTGACAGCTGTGCTTATCTGTGCAGCATTTACAGTGACACCTGCGCCATCGCCGCTCCATCCGCTCTTCAATTAATGCAATCAGGAAGCTGTACAATTCCCAGAGCACAAATCACTGAGAATTTTAACTTTTACCTGTCTTTTCATTGCCTAAAATTCATCCTGCGCTCCTCACACACTTTGAATATCTGCATAAATTTCCATATGACACCCGTGAGGAGTTTTCTTCCTGTCATTTTCCCTGAGGGGCTGAATATGAATGGTTTTTCCATATTAAAATTATCTCCAAGTGTTTGTTAAAATATGTTTTTAATCTAGAATAAATTAATTTTGGTGCCTAGCAATATCCTGAACACTAGATGGACTTAAAGTTCTAACAATTATTAGCACTGTTCCTCTGCTTGGTCCCTGACAGCACCATGATTTCCATGGAGGTAAATTTAGATAGTGTAGAGCTGTACAGTAAATGCCTATTAACTCTGTGAAAATAAACTCATCTCAGTTTAGAGTAATTTGGGCAAAACTATTTTTCTAATACACATTACATTTTTTACCCTTCTGATAGAATACTAAATTGACC